ACCGGTACTACGTGAAAGGGCCGGGCAACAAGACCGGCAGCAGCGACCGCCACGGCATCAACACCGTCCTCGGCCACCTCAAAACAGTGCGAAGCTACCTCCGCGACCACAACTTAACGTTCCCCGTCGTGATCTCCGACATCATGGACATGTACACGATGTTCCCCGAGTTGTACGACGAGGTCGACGTGGTCGCTGTGAACCAGTTTTCGTTCTGGGAGAAAAAGACGGCGGAAGAAGGCGCGCACTTTACGTTCAAGCGCTTTCAGGAACAAGAGACCCGCGCCAAACGCGCCGGCAAGCTCATCCTGCTGCACGAAGCCGGCTGGAGCACAGCGGGTGAGGACCCCGTGGTCACCGAGGCTTCTCCCCGGGCCCAAGGCGTGTTCACGCAGGACTTTCTGACCCTGGCGGCGCGCCAGAACCTCAACGCATTCTACTTTGCCGCATTTGATTTGACGTTTGGGTCGACCTTGATTGAACGCAACTTTGGCATTCACTACTCCAACCGCACGTTGAAGCCAGGGGTGGATGCCGTCCACGTTGGCCCGCCGCTCCAAGCGGTCCGCCTCTGGGCCGGAGACAACGTGATCAAGGCGCACCGCTACTGGAACGCCGACGACGACTCGGTCAACGAGAACTTTGGCCACGTGTATGCTGCGAAGCCATCCGTCGGTCGATCGGGCGTCTGGGACGACGAGATCTGGCTGTGGGATGCTGAGTCCAGCATCTTGTACTCCAAGAGCTCGAATCAGTGCTTGGAGTCTTCTAGCGAGAACAACACGCAGACCCTGCGCACGTCCCCCTGCTCCAAGGACAACCGCGATCAAAAGTGGAGTGTCGCGAACGGCAACATTGCCAGCCAGAACGACGCCAACTTTTGCATCGACGTGGACGTGAACCGCCCAACGACCCCCGATGGGAACCTCGTGGTCGCGGTATCTCCGTGTAACGAGCAACCGACCCAGCCGATCTCGATAGTCCCGGCGGCCGACGAGCCCCTCAAGATTGGCATCAAGACGAACGGCGACGGGCTCACCGCGTTCTCCGGCAATGTGAAGTGGAAAACCAACCGCCATTCGGACAGTGAGAGCCGCCAGTGGTTTTACGATCCCGTCATTCAGAGCATTAAGAGTAAGTCCTCGAGCCAATGCTTGGACGCGTCCAAGGGCGTGAACGGTGGAGATGTGCTCTTGGCCAATTGCGATCCGGCCAACGTCAACCAGAAGTGGGTCTTGAACGACATCACGGGCCAGATCCATCATGCAACGCACTTTGGGTTTTCCCTCGGCGCCCCCGACGACGTCGACGAACTCGTGCGCTTGTTGTGGAGTGACAAAAACAATGTCAACCAACAGTGGAACATCAAGCCCGTCAAGGCCAACGCGTAGGCAGGCAGCTTGGAGCCACGCACGCACATGCATGA